TCTTTCTCTGACTCTCCACATTTCCCAGCATGATCTCTCCTTCCTCCTGATAATATACCCAAAGTATGTAAGAAGGTTTTCGCCGTCTCTGCCTCTAAAGAGCACTAAGGTTGTACTTCCTCCAAGACACATTTGCTTGTTCTTTTGGAAGTTCATGGGATGTATATTCAATACTCTCCTTCAACACCACAAAAGCATCATTTTTTTCCCCCGACATCCTATTGACTGTTCAGCTCTCAGATGCACAGGAAGCAATTTAAAAGCCCATGTCTTTGAATCAGGTCTTTAAGCTGCCATTCTTGTTCTATCACACATTGGAAAGGTCTTTGACACCAGATTTCCCCAGAGCTACATGACTTTTGACTTTTTGATTGCTGCTTCTATGCGTGTCAATTTTGGATCCAAGTGAAATGAAATTGTTGACAATTTCAAACTTTTCTCCATCTATCGTGATGTTGCCTATCAGCCTAATGGAAGGACTTTTGATTTCTTGATGTTGGGATGTAAACCATGGTGAAGACTGTAGTCTTTGACCTTCTGTAATAAGTGATTCAAGTCCTCTGCACCTTTCGCAAGCCAGGTTGTTTCAGCTCTATAATACAGTGTGCTAATGAGTCTTCCTCCAATATTGATGGTACATTTCTGTTCATATAGTCCAGCTTCTTGAATGATTTGCTCAGCACACAGATTACACAAGTATGAAGAAATAATACAACCTTGACTCACATCATTTGTGATTTTATACTATGCCATGTTTAAAACAGCATCTTGGTTTATATATAGACTTCACACGAACATAATTAAGTGTTCTGAGGTTCCCAATATCCTCAATGTTTGCCATAATTTGTTATAATCCCCACAGGTAAATGACTTTGCTTAGTTAAAACACACACACACACACACACACACACACACACACACACACACAAATGAACATCTTTCTGGTTTCCTGTGCTTTTAGCCAAGATTCATCTGACATCAACAATGATAACCATTGCACCATAGCCTCTTTTCAGTCTAGCTTGAATTTCTGATAGTTACATGTCAATGTACTGGCCCATCCATTTTAAAATAATTTTCTGCAAGATTTTACATACATGTGATGTTATAGATGTTGTTCTGTAATTTCCACATTCTGCTGGATAGTGCTTTTCATGTCATGGACTTAACTATGCGTCTCTTTCAGTCAGTTGACCAGGTAGCTGTCTTCCAAGTGTTTTAACATAGACTGATGAGCATGTCCAAGGGCTGAATCTGTTTGCTAAAACATGTCAGTTGGTATTCCATCAGTTCCTGGGGCCTAATTTTCGGCCAATGCTTTCAGTGAAACTTGAGCTTCTTCCTACATTACTTACCATTTATTCTTGATCATATGCTAATCAATTCCTGAAATAGTTCATTATCAACAAACTCTTTTTGGTACAGTGACTCTTTGTATTCCCTTCATCTACTTTTGATGCTTTCTGCATTATTCAAGATTTTCCCCATAGAATTCTTTAATATTGCAACTTGAGGCTTTAATTTGTTCTTCAGTTCTTTCAGTTTGAAAAATGTTGAACATACTCTTCCCTTTTTGTTTTTAAATTTCAGTTCTTTGCACATTTTGTTATAATACTTTATTTTCTCAAGCTGTCCTTTGAAATTTTCTTTTCATCTTTCTTACTTTGGCATTTCTTCCCTTTGTTTTGGCCTCTCAACATTCTAGGGCAGGTCTCAGAGTTTCTTCTAACATCCATTTTGATCTTTTCTTTCCTGTTAAGCTTCAGTCCGTATTGAACTCTGCAGTCCTTGACCTTCTGCAGCAAGCGCTTCAGGTCCTCCTCAGTTTCAGCAAGCAGGGTTATGTAATCTGCATAAGGCAGGTTGTTGATGAATCTTCCACCAGTCCTGATGCCACATTCCTCCTCATACAGCCCAGTGTCCCAGATGATCTGTTCTATATACAGATTGAAAAGGTATGGAGACAGAATACATCCCTGGGAGACTCCCTTCCTGACTTTGAACCATGCAGTTTCTCCTTGCTCTGTTCTGACTACTGCCTAAACACACACACACAGACACACAGACACACAGACACACACACGTAATGGAATATTATTCAGCCATGAAAAATGAAGTCCTGATATATGAAACAACATGGAAGGACCTTGAAAACATTATACTGAGTAATGCAATCCAATAACAAAAGGAAAAACACTCATTAATATGAAATACTTAGACTAGGCAAATGCATAGAAATTAAAGGTTTTTAGTGGTTACCCAGAATGCAGGGACAAAGGAAAGAGAAATCACTAAGATTCTGTTTGTGGTTGGTGATGGAAAATTTGGCAGTGGACATTGATGGTTGTGCAATATGATTGGTTCAGTCGATGCCACAGAATTGTATATGTGAAATGTGTTCATTTGTAAATGTTGGGTTGTCAAAATATATTTAGGATTAAAAATGGGGAAGGGCTTGTCTATTTAGTGAACCAAGAACATATCTACTCTCCTTGTTTGAGAACTCAGCTGAAATCTGAATCTGTAAAGACAAAGTGTGCTTCTGGCTGAGGGACTGAGGTAGCTGTCAATGGCAGAGAAGCAATAGAAAGTGGTAGCATGAAGCAGTCTAAGCTCCAGGGCAAGGGAGGCCCATGTGTGCATTCGGTATCAATTGGCTATGTTACTTTAGAACTTTCTGGGCCTTATCTCAGCACCCGTAAGACAAAATTCCCAGGGCTCTTGTGAAGCCTGACATCAGTGTTGAGGCAGGGCCTTTCCTAGGGCTTGGTTACTGTATTCCACAGTAAATAATTCCCCTCCTCTGCTCCTTCTTTCTCCTCCTCAATTTTTCAGAGACTTAGAAGAGATGTTGCTACTTAGAATCTCTGCTATCAATAGATACTGAGCCACAATTTTATATTCCGTACTGTAAACTGAGCAGGATTTTGGCAACAGCAAAATAGCTACACAGATCTGTAGACACTTTCTAGAGGGGTGAAAGAGGCAACTTGGTGGTGGGACAGGCTGGATTGGGGTCCAGGAATGACTGGATGGGGGAAGGACTAGTGTGAATCTGGTGTGCCACTGAGCAGCCCAGTTTTCTTAGTTTTCTGTGATAGCTCTAGCCAGGCCTTCAGCTGAGCTTATCACCCCATCTATTCTTTTTTGGTTTGTATTTTGTTATCGAGGTTCTATAGTAAAAGAACTTTAAAAAAAATAATGAAGCCACTTGTAAGTTTGTCAGAGGATATTTCCTCACCTGTTATTTGTGTATGAGGAGCAGCATATTTGACTAGTGTCTCACTTAAAGCCACAAAGTCAAGAAAAGTCTGTGGTGTGGTAAGGGAAAAGAAAGGTACTAACAGGCTTCCCTGGATGGATTCATGATTTATGAACTATCAGTGTGTATTGTTATTGTTGTGATGTGTCGTCGAATCACCTGCAACTTATCATGACCCTATATACAGCAGCTCTGAACCCTGCTCTATCCTGAGCCAACCTTACTGTCTCTGACACACCTACCCCCCATTACCTCAGTCACTGAATCAATCCATCTCATAGAGGATCTTCCTCTCCTGCGCTGTCCCTCCACACTCCCAAGCATGACGTCCCTCTCCAAGGACCGGCCCCTCCTTGCAACATGTCCAAAGTATGTCAGATGAACCTTCAGCATCATTGCCTCCAAGGAGCAGCCTGGTTTCACTCTCTCTAGGACAATGGCTTATTTAATACTCTTTGCCAGAACCGCAGCAGTCCGTAATCTAGATTTTCTAGTCATGTAGATTAGCCTTTTTGTCAGTTAATCAGGAATATGACATTGTCATTACTTTAGTCATTTTCACCAAATCACGTGTTCCTCCTATTTGCCTTCTTTCAACAGAGAAGAACAGAAAAACTAAAGATTATGAAGAGTTAGCAGGATGCTGCAACATGGTTCAGATACTTTGGGTGATACAAATGTGGTCTCGTGTTTGTACTCTCTCTCTCTCACACACACACACACACACACACACACTCATACATTACCCAGCACAATGTGATCACCAGAACAAATAATAAGAAAAATCTGTGGTGCAGTTCAGAGCTTCAGTGCTGTGGTGGATTTCATTATGTTCTCTCCAAACACACATACATAGTAATATAATGTGAAAGTTATATCAAGATCTTCCATGGTCTGATAAACCATCCACTTGTGGTATCTCTGTTAGAGGGCTATCTCTGCCGTGTTAGATAACTAAGATATCTGCTAACCTAAAAGTTTGTGGTTCGAATCCACCAGCCCCTCCACACAGTAAGCCATGGGAGTCCGCTTTCCTAAAGATTTACAAGCTTGGAAACCTGTGGGGAAGAAGACTCCCCTGTCCCATTGGGTCACTGTCAGAATGAACATGGTGGAGGTGGATCTAGTTTGGCTTTAGTACGTAATCACCTGAGAGAATAATAAGAAAAGTCTAACCTCCACCCCTGTATGACTTGTCCAATAGCCACTCAGTGCTTTAGACCTCTACCACACCCATCTTTTTACCTCCTGGAGCCAGATATCCTATGGGTAACTGCGGATGGAAATGTTAAAAAGCAACACACCTCTCTTACTATAGCATGTATTTCTCCTTAGTAAGTCCCAGGGCTGGTGCAAATGGTTCATGTTCTTAGCTGCTAACAGAAGGCTGGGGGATTGAGTCCACCAAGGGACACCTGACAAGGAAGGTCTAGAGATCTACTACCAAAAAAAATCAGTATTAAAAACCCCTCTTTGGGGTACAGTTTATTTGGCTGCACAAAGGATCCCCAATAATTGGGGTCAACTTAACAGCACGTGGTACTGGGCGGGTGCTTAGCAGACACCCCGTGGTGTCTGAAGGGCCAGGACACTATCCCTTGTTGTCTTAGCTGCTGCAGATCTGAGTCTGAGACTTACCAGAGGTGCCTGCTGCCCAGAACCCCCAAAGTGGAAACCATAAACACTTACCTTAAATCGTAATCAATCTGAAAAGCAAAGGCAATGAATGCATGGGTACCTTCTTTCTTTGGAATTCCTCTTCCCATCTGACCCCTGGAATGTTGCCTTTATCTTCAGGATCAAAGAAATATTAATCACGTATTTCCTTTCCGATTCAAGCAATTCTAGTGCCACCGTCTGCCTTTTAGCTTTAAAAACAAGCCAAGGAGAGAATAGTTATTAACCACTCCCTTATCCTAAACTCTATGAAATAATAGAAAGTAATAAAAGCCAACAAAAATACAGCTGCCAGCAAGTTTTTGAAGGACGGCCAGCAAGTTTTTGAAGGATGGAAAGCAAAATAGAGACAAAGTCATTGATTCAGCAGACTTAAGGGTGCAAAACCTCCGTGTTCCCTTCTGCAGGTGGGAAATCTGCCAAGGAGCGGCAAGACTCAAGGGTCTGAGATCCGGTTGCTACAGAAAGTGAAAATAAAGGGGGCTCTGGTGGCCTAGTGGCAAGAAGCTGCACTGAAGGGCAATCTCCTCCTGTATCAGTCAGATCTGATTTGACGGTACACATACACAAAATAATAATTTTTTAAAAAAAATAAAGTAAACATAATGAGCAACACTACAAACAAGAGACACCAGTATAAGATCATATAAGGTGCAATTGAACCTCCAGGAGCTCCTCTTACCTCGCACGTTGGCACCTTCCTCACTCCTACCTCATGAGAAAGGAGAAAAACTAGGGAAGTGCTGGTGTCTGAAATCTAGACTAAAGACACCAGACATGGTGGAGCAGAGAGTTGAGAAACCAGAATGAAAACAAGAGGACTCATAGGGAACGTGCATCCTGGACAGAGGCCCCTCCCTCTTCTTCTCCTCCGGGTCCTGGAGTGCTAATGTACAGACTTGAATCTGCCAGGTAGGAGACTTCTACCTGAAAACTGATGAGTGGGAAGGAGGGGGGAGGGAGGGAGAGAAAGGGGGGAGCGGGGTAGAGGGAGAGGGGAGCGGAGGGGGAGGGGGAGAGAGGGACAGAGAGAGAAAGACCTACTAAAACGGACATAAAGAAGTCCCCTGTGAATTCGTTACTTTGCCATCTGATTACCCTCTGATGAAGCTTACTATTGACAAACTTTTCCAGGACAGAATTTCCAGGGCTTGTGTTGCTAATCTAAAGACAGGGCTTCTCTGATTTTGACTCCACCAGGAGCTCCGAGAGAGAAGGATGGGTAATCTCTTCCCATGTGACATACAGCCTGGGAAATGCAATGGAATGTCAGCTATGCGTTGGTTCTGACAAAACGGCAATGGTTTGAGTTTTCTTGAATTCTTATATGTACATTTAGCCAAGGAGTCTCATTTATTTGAAAAGAGCTTTCAGCAAAAACATTGCTGTTGTTGTTGTTCGGTTCCATCGTGGATAAAACTGACTATAGGTGACCCTCCAATAGGTATCCAGAGCTGTAAATCAATCACACAGGAAGACATTGCCTATCTTTCTCTCATGGAGCAATTCCATGAGGATTTGAACCGCCTGCCTTTGGGTTGGAAGCACAACTCCTTACCCATTAGTCCACCAGCATTCCCTTTCACATTAAAAAAACAAAACAAAACAAAAAAGCAAACAAAAAAACCCCTCCTTTACATATATATATCAGAGAGAGAGAGAGAAAGAGAGAAGGAAAGAAAATGGGATAGATGTATATTTTTATTAAAAAAGCTAACAGAAATAAAAAGAAGCCTGAAGGAACAGACACACTACAAGAAACAAAAGGGCATTTAAAGAAATCTTATCATTAATACTCTGAAAGAGATATGAGAAAGTACTCCAGCCTTTTAACAATGACAGGATGCTATTATTAAAGAGAGAAAGTTGAAGGGGTGGGGGGAGTAGGGAGAAGTGCTTCCTGAAATTTTTAAAACAAAGCTAGAAATAGTTAACTAGTAAAATGTGCATGAGGATCCCAGAGGGGGAGGGTGGGAGGAGAAAGGTGAGGATGGGTAGAGAGTAAGTCACAGGGTCGCACAAGTTGGTGAGTGGAGGGAAGGGCATAAAAGAAATGGAAGAGATCTGGCAGGGATCTGGAAAGCCAGGGTAATGGTGTGCATAGTTCAATGATGATTAATTTTATAAAACACAATGAGTGGGAATGACTGTGTGAAACATAATGTGAATGTAGATTCGTGTGAAACACAATGTATATTAACTTTGTAAGCAAATCAACATAAAATAAAAACTAAAATTATGTACAAGTGTTAAAAAAACAAAAACTAAAATTATGGAAAAATTTTTAAAAAGTAGAATAGAGTCAAAGAATTTTAGAAAGAAGAACAACACATATATCAATACATGAGAACCCAAATGGAAATCCATCCATCTATGTATAGTTGATCTTTGACAAAAGGGGAAAAGCATTCAATGATGAAGAAATAATCTCTTTAAGAAATAGTGATTGCACAAACAGATTTCCATATGCAGAGAAATTAATCCAAATCCGTATTTCACCAGCAGCATACAATTGAACTCAAAAGGAATCAAAGACTTAGATGTAAATCTAAAAATATAAAATTTTTGGAAGATAGCACAGGGTTAAAGTGTCATTTTTGGCAAAAATAACCTATGAAACAAAACAAAAAATGTAGAATTACAGATCAATTTGATAACTACAGTCTCCTAACAATTGAATACCTACCTTCATCAAAAGACTTCACCAAGTGAGCTCCAGTGGCTTAGAGGCTACATGGCAATTCTGAAAGACTTTACCAAGGGACAAAAAAGAGACCCTACAAACTGGGGGGAAATCTTTGGCATCTACATACTAAGAAATCAGAATCCAGTTGCTAAAATATATTTTAAAAACTTCAATGACTCAATAACAAAAAGACAAATAATCTGCTAAAAACACACTAAGGACATGAATAGACACTTCATCAAAAAAGATGTTTAGGTTACCAACAGACATATAAAGATGTTCATAATCATTAGTCATTAGACCAAAAACTTACTGCCATTGAGTAGGGTCCAACTCATAGTGACCCTACCGTTCTCTCATGGAGCAGCTGGTTGGCTTGAACGGACAGTGTTTCAGTTAGCAACGTGACTCACTGCGACCCTTTGAACAGTTGACCTGAACCCTGCCCTATCCTGTGCCATCCTCACTATGTCTGACACACTAGAGTGCATTGCTGAAGTCACCATGTCACTCCATCTCATTGACGGCATTCTCCTCCTTCACTGACCCTCCAATTTTTCAAGCATGATGTCCCTTTCCAAAGAATAGCTTTGCCTACCTATATGTCCAAACATAGAATTAAATAAGAATTTTTTACCCCTGAAAAAAATCACACTGATTGCATACACACATAAAATCAAGTTACAATCACAAATGCTATATTGCAATGTGAGGCAATTAGAATGTTTATATATTGCTAGATGAATTGTAAAGTGATATAACCACTATGGAAAACAATACAACCTTTCCTCAAAAACCTGGAAGTTCCATTATTAAATTACATGAATGTCCAGAATCAAGGTAGCAGTCTAACCAGCCAGATGACTTCCGGTGAATCCCTTAATTTCTTAATCTGAAAAGGACAGCAGACCAGATGGTCTTATATGTCCACCGAAACTCTAAATTTCCAGGATTCTAGTGCCCTGGTGCATCTTGTCCTTGGATATTTTAGCCTGCCTTCCCCCTTGAGACTTACCAGCTAAAGAAGTTTCACATAAAACATTTTCCAAGGAGCTGTGTCTGCCCTGGCCAGCATCCTTGAGCTTATCTGGGTGGTCTTTGGTGACATACTCCTCGCCCCATTCTTTACCATCCTTTGGTTGCCTCCACACGCTGGAAGGGAGATGGCCCTTGGATGGGATATCGGCCGAGAGGCAAGACTTGAGATTTTCATCTGTTTCTGGGGTTGTTGGATTCACTCCTGAAAAATAAAAGCAACTATCAAGAGCTAATTTTTATGCACACCCATGTTTATTGCTGCTTTGTTCACAATAGCAAAAAGTTGGAAACAACCCAAGTGCCCATCAACAAACTAATGGATAGAGAAGCTGTGGTAAATTCACACAATGAAATACTATGCAGCATTAAAAAACAAAGAACTCATGAAATATTAGACAAAATGGGTGACCATGGAGGACATTATGCTGAAATAATCTCAGTCACAAAAAAGACAAATATTATATAATGCCACTAATATGTTGAGTGCGGAAAAACATAAAGATGGGATAAATAATGTACATGGCATTGAAACAGATGAGGGAGAGAACTGTATAAAAGGAATATATGATAAGGTATTATTTATTGTTTACATGACAAGAGTCCAGAATAAGTGGTCCGAGGTGGGGGTGTGTGTGGGGGTGTGTGTGGGGGTGTGGGAGGGCTGTAAAATAATGAAAGAACTTTTTCCCAAAGAAAAGAGTGAACTTGGGGGAGGAGGAGCACAGGGAGGAAAATGTGCAACAATTAATGAATGGAAATCCAAGTTCTTTATAAACTTTCATTAAAATCTAAAAAATAAAAAAGCTAATTTGGGGGAAGGAAAAAAGAACTTTTGTTACTAAACTGTAACCATTATGCTCCCCTTTGGGTATAATTATCCATTGCAGATTGCCTTTAACAACCATTAACATTTTCAGCAGCTGCAAGAGTAGTAGGATGTATATCTGGTTCCCTAAATGCCGTTTTGAGGGTGGTGGTAGTAGTTAACCTTCCATGTGAGAAACCCTGCTTCAAGTCCTAGGGCCTCATGCACGAGCACCACCCATGTGCCAGTGGAAACTGATCAACAACTTTCAGTGGTGTTTTCCAGACTAAGGTGAGGGAGGAATCAAGGCCTGACAATCTTCTTCTGAAAATCAACCAATAAGAAAGCCCCGTGGATCACAATACTCTGATTCCATTGTGCTTATGTCATCAGAGGTCAGTGCCTACCTGACTGAGTAGTAGCTACTGTTGCTATTGTGTGCCGTTGAGTCAGAACCAATCTATAGATGACCTTCTAGTGGGTTTTCAAAGGTAGTTAATCACATGGGAGGAGACTACCCATCCTTCTCCCACAGTAGCTAATAACTACACAATATATAGACTATTACTATAATCTGATATAACTCATCTATAGGAATATGTATGGACAATCTGCTTCCTTTCAGGTGAGCACGCCACGTACTTGAACTATTCAAAAAAGAGCACAGGAAGAAGAGGAGAAAAGGTGGCCAAAACAATGTCTACTTTTGCAATTTGTGCTCCTTGGATCGGATGTTGGTAGTCTGCAGAAGAGAAAAAGAAAGGGGTGGGGTGGAGTGGGATGGGAAAGGGAAACAAGGTAAAACCCTTTAGAAATCCAAAATAATTGTCTACTAAGTAAACAACTTTTAAATTAAATAAGCTTGAAAATGTGTGGCCCATGGGAAAACCTGTGTCATGTTTCATACACCTGTGACTTCTAAGTAAATGTTAACTTATTGATAATTGAAAGGAGTTGGGAAGAACCAAGAATGCTGGTTTGTCTGGTACTTCCCAAACCTCCCTTTTCCTTGATTTAATTGAGTATCTGACCTACTCCACCATATATCTTGAAATCTTAGTAACTACGGGGCTTTACTTTGCCTGGTTTGGTACTGAAGGAGTAGAAGAGAAGTGACAGGGAAGGTTGAAGAAGAGAATTGGTAGAATTTCTAGAAAAAAGAAAATACACAAGAATCACTTACCTGGGCCCATCATTCCCTTCACGTTACTGTCTCCCACATGAATGGATCTGGACTCTTGAGCTGCAGAGGAAGGAGAACTTTCCCTCAGTGTTCATTCCATTATATAGACTAAGCACCTCCTAGGTGCAGGCACTGGTGAAAGGCTCAGAGATTCCATAGTTCAGTGGAGAAGACAGAGCAGTAACAAGAGAAAATTACAGTATGGTGTGGCCAATGAAAATGACAGTATTGTCATCTATAAAACATGCAATAGTGACATTTGTCTCATATGCTTCAATCTGTATGTAAACTACTTAAAACTACTTCGAACTATATGTAAACTACTTAAAATGGTACCTGACACACAATATATTATTGTTCTGCTATGCTTGTGTTTGCGATGATGGTAAGGGTGAAAATATAACAGCCAAAATGATCCTATTAAAATGTAAGTCAGACTCTAACACTCTTCTAGGTTGGACTGGAGACCACTTGCATGTCAGTGACCATTATCAGACTGCTATTTCTAGAGCCTTCTATCTGGTCATAGGGCAAACACATTCTGCAATGTTCCTGGGGGAAGAAATCCTTAAAAAAACCCAAAAGCACAACACCAAAACAAAAGCATGCCTTTGCCTTACAAATTGTCCTAAAACTTGACAATCAGCAGTGTTAGGGGCTCCCCAAAGTTATAATAAGTCCTAAACCCTGGATCCTGTAAATGTTATTTAATTTAGGGGAAAAGGGGGGAGTTTTGCAGATGTATTTAAATGAATAATTTTTAAGTGAATAATTTTGAGATGAGAGGCCATGTCTAATAGCCTCTAAAATGACTTCTGAGGGGAGTACAAATATAAAAATAAAACGCTATTTTAAAAAAGCTATCTGGACTTTGAACTATATGAATTAAAAATAATTTGATTTAAATTTTATGTTCAGCTATTCAAAACACATTTATTGTCTATGAAATTATTAATCAAATTTTCCCATAAACAGTAGGGTAAAAAACCACTAAGCCTAAGCTTGAGAAGCTTACTGTTGCATATGAACTTTTCACTATGTTGAGGAAATTCCCTTCTAGTCCTATTTTGCTGAGTGTCTTAATCAGGAAGAAGTGTTGGATTTTGTCAAATGCCTTTTCTGCATCAATTGCTAGGATCATATGGTTCTTGTTATTTGCTTTGTTAGTGTGGTAAATTATGTTGATTTTTTTTCTTATGTTGAACCATCCTTGTATACCTGTTATGAATCCCACTTGGTCATGATGAATTATTTTTTCGATGTGCTGTTGGATTCTACCAGCTAGGATTTTGCTAAGGATATTTGCTTCTTATGTTCATAAGATGTATTGGTCGATAGTTTTCTTTTTCAGTAATATCTTTGCCTGGTTTTGGTATTAGGGTTATGCTTGCCTCATAGTATGTCTCTGGGAATGTTCCTTTTTTTAAAAAAATAATTTCAATGGAATTTGTGATAAATCTTCTCTGAATATTTGGTAAAATTCAGCCATTAAGCCATCTGGTCCAGGACTTTGTGGGGGAGTCTTTTTATGACCTGCTCAATTTCTTCTTTTGTGATGGGCCTGTTCAAGTGTTCTACATTTGTTCGTGTCAATCTGGGTTTGTCATGAGTTTCAAGGAATTTGTTTATTTCCTCTAGATTTTCAAATTATAGTTTTTCATAATATTCCAATACTATAGGTTTCATTTCCTCTGGTTCTGTTTTGATGTCACTTCTATCATTCCTTAATAGTTTTATTTGTGTCTTCTTTTTTTTCTTTTGTTATGTTTGTAAAAGGTTTATCAATTTTATTAACCTTTAAAAAGACCAGCTGCTGGTTTTGTTGATGCTTTTAATTCTTTTTCTGGGTTTTTTATCTCATTAATTTCAGCTCTTCTTCTTATAACTTCCTTTCTTCTAGAGGTTGTGGGGTTAAATTGTTGTTCTTTTTCTAGTTTATGAAGGTGTTAAAGTATATCATTAATTTTGCTTGGGTTGTGTGGTTTTGTTGTGGGGTTTTTGTTTTGTTTTGTTTTTTGTCTTTTGCTATTTCTATGAACAGGCCTGAGGACTGACTTAGCTGCATCCTAGAAGTTTTGGTACGTTGTACTGTCATTATCATTTGTTTACTAGAACTTCTTTGTTTCATTTTTTATTTCTTCTACAGCCCAAACATGTTCTAACAGGGTGCTACTTAGCTTCCACATTGGTAGTTCTACCCTCTTGTCTTTAATTTCTAGTTTATAGCATTGTGATCTGAGAGGATACTTTGTATTGTTTCAGTGTTTTTTTAATTTGTTGAGGCTTGCTTTGTACCCTAATATGTGATCAATTCTGGAGAATGTACCATGTGCACTTGAGAAGAAAGTGAATTGAATTTTAGTTGGATGTAGTATTCGGAATACATCCACAAGGTTGAGTTGGCTAGATCTTCTGCATCTTTGTTAAATTTCTTTTGAGTTGACCTATCCTTTGGTGAGAGTGCTTTGTTCAAGTCTCCTACTACTATTCATTTTTTCCTGGAGAAAAGATGAAAGTCACACAAGTTTTGAGGACTTTCATTCTTAGGGTCTCCATGAGCCACCTACGACTTGACAGCACTTAACAACAACCACCACCACTGTTGGGGTGCTTATTTCTTTCTTCAATTCTGTTGACAGTTGTTTTATATGTTTAGCAGGTCTATCGTTTGGTGCATAGATGTTGACCAATGTTATGTCTTCTTGATCTACTGTGTCTTTGATTACTATTTAGTACCCTTCCTTATTTTTTTTAAATTTTTTAAATTTAAATTTATTATTCATTTCAGTAAAAATTTACAGAGACTTCGGATTTCAATCCATTCATTGTTGAACTTTTCTTCCCTCCCAACCCTCCCCCCTAGCACACTACCCTCTTGGAAAAGCTAAAGACAAATTATTTCTTTGTTTTACAAACCCTCCCCCAGGTCCACTCCACCATGCAGCCTTCCTGTCATGACAAAAATACCTAATCACATATCCATTTTAAACAGTTTTCTCCCTCATCTGTTTCAATGCAGTATACATTATTGAACCCATCTTTCTTAGTCTCTTCCCAACCCCAAGGTCAGTCCTGTTTTACAACAGTGGCACCATGCAGTATTTGTCCTTTTGTGACTGAGATACTTCACTCAGCATAATGTCCTCCAAAGTCACCCATTTTTAATAATATTACATGAGTTCCTTATTTTTCAATGCTGCATAGTATTCTATTGTGTGAATATTCCACAGCTTCTCTATCCATTTGTTTGTTAATGGACACTTACGTTGTTTCCAACTCCTTGCTATTGTGAACAAAGCCGCAATAAACATGGGTGTGCCCTTCCTTATTTTTTATGGCCGTTTTCATCCTGAAGTATATTTTATCAGAAATTAGTATTGCCATTCCTGCTTTTTTGTGGATACCATTTCCTTGGTATTTTTTTTCCCAGTCTTTGATTTTAAGTCTATCTTTCTCTACATTTCTTAGATGTGTCTTTTGTAGACAACATATTATTGGGCTTTGGGAGGTTTTTAAAAAATTGTTGTTTTTGTTGTTGTTGTTATGTGCCGTCGAGTTGCTTGCGACTAATAGCGACCCTATGTACAACAGCCCTACACTCCGCTCTGTCCTGTGCCAATCGCATTGTCTCTGACACTCCCATTCCAATTATCCCAGTAACTGAATCAATCCACCTCATAGAGGGCCTTCCTCTCCTGCGCTGTCCCTCCACCCTCCCAAGCATGATGTCCCTCTCCAAGGAAGGGTCTCTCCTCACATGTCCAAAGTATGTTAGACGGAGCCTCGGAATCCTTGCCTCCAAGGAGCCACCCGGTTTAACCCTTTCCAGGACAAATCTGTTTGATGTATTTTTTTAATTAAATTTTATTAATTTTAATGAACATTTACAGAGATTTGGGGTTTTGAGAGTTGTTTTTTTTTAATCCATTCTGCTACTCTTTTTCTCTTGATTGGTATGAATTTAGTCCACTCACATTAATTGTGATTATTGACAGGCCACATTTTATCATTACCATGTTACTGTGCTTCTTTAGTTGCTTTTTCTGGTTACTATTGTCCATCCAATTTTTTTTTTTTATGTCTCTGTGTGAAGGACTTCCCTTAAAAGTTCTTGTAGATTTTGGTCTTCTTTTCACAAATTCCTTAAGTTCCTTCTTTTCTGCAAAGGCTCTAATTTCTCCTTCATATTTGATGGAGAGCTTTGCTGGGTACAGGATCTTTGGTGGGCAATTGTTTTCTTTCAACTTTCTGTATATGCTATCTCGTTGTCTTCTAGTTCACATGGTTTCTGCTGAGAAATTAGAACTCAATCTAATTGCTTTTCCTTTGTATGTCAATCTTTTTTCTCTCATGCTGTTTTAGTATTCTATCCTTATCTTTTATTTTGAAGATTTTTTTAATGATATGTCTTGATGCTTTTCTTTTTGGGTCTATGCTATTTGATGTCCACTGAGCTTCTTGAATGTGGATTCCCTCATTCTTCATAATACCTGAGAAATTTTCTTCTAGCACATTTTCCACAATTTTCTCAGTGGTTTTTCTGTCCCTCTCATATTCTGGAATTCCAATCATACATATGGTATTCCTTTTCATGTTATCCCACATGATTCTAATGTTTCCTTCATGTCTCATATCTAATTTTTCTTCTAGTATGTTTCCATTGAGCTTCTTGCCTGCCAGGTCACTGACACTGCTCCATCTCTTCTGCTCTACATTTTTGTTTGTCTTGTGTGTTGGGCACTTCTGCCATTTTGTTCTTAACATCCTAGATTTCATTTTCATGAATTTCTGTTATTTCTAGTACTGTGTTGGCTGCACCTTCACTATCTTGTGATGATTTTTTAAGTTCTTGTTCCTCTTTATCTATAGTTTCAATTCTTCTTCTGTCTTTTGCATTTTTTTCTGTTAGTTGTGCAAGTTCTGCTTCCTAGATATATTTCCTCTGGCTCACTATCTCTGGACTATTGTTTTCTTAATAGTTTCCATTGTTTCTTCCAGCATTTGCACCTTCTTCCATAGCTGTTCAAATAACTCCACATCAATATATTTTTCTGGTTCTCTACCTTTAGTACATTCCCGTTGTTTGTGGTTTCCATTATTTCTTCCATCATTTGTACTTTCTTCTGTAGCTGTTCAAATGCTTCCATACCAACATATATCTTCTGCCTTTTTGACTTTGGGGTATTCATTGGGTCTGAAATATTCTCTGCTTTTTTTGGAGAAGGCGTAATTTGGTGTTTTGTTTTATTCTGTTTTCCACAGTGTTTAAAACTATCTGCTGCTTTCTTGACAATATGTCAAGTTTTTCTTGATAAATGTTAGGTTGTAGGTAGTTCTTATGTTTACAATGCTATTGATTGGTTGCCAACTTGATAAGGTTTCACTCTACTGAAAGTCCTTTCTGGGAAAATTTGCTCTTCCTGAAGCCCATCAGGAATCTCACTTTACTGTCATCCCTTCTCCCAAATTTTATTGTCCTCCTTCATAGATGGAGTGGCTGAATGGTGATCAGAAACTCCCCAGTAGTTTCTGTCCAGGGGAGGGTTTCGGGTCAAGTCTCTTTCTTATAGCTCAACATGACAGCTTTCCCTGCTGGCAGCTCTCTGTCCCAAACTCTATTTTCCTGTTTGGCACCTGGAATGGCTCCACAGTAGTGGAGGTAAGGATCCCCAAGCGGAAGGATCTTTCCCCAGGAAGTTTTAGTTCTTTCTCTCCCCTCCTCTCTGCTACTCCACATGCACCTAAAGTGCTGGCTCTGGGAAGGAGTGTCTGATTTGATGATACATCCTCTCCTAAAGCTTAATGTCTTCCTTTGTCTCTGGAATGGTGTAAGATCAGGGGCACCAACTTAAACAGTTTGCATGCAGGAGGGTCTCAAGTCAACTCTCCTCACAGAAAGCTGAGAAAGTCTTTCCCCTCCTTGTGGCTCTCTGTCCCAAACTCTCTTATCTGGTTTGTCACCTGGGATGGCTCCATGGTGGTGGAGACAAGGAGGGATTCTTCCAGGGAAGTTACAATCTCTTCTCTCCTCCAGCATGCACCTAAAGTCTGAGCCTATCTTTTTGAGATTTTTTTTTTATGAAAGCAAGGAAAATTCATCTCCACAGTTTAATTAATATCTAAAGATGGCACTTAAAGCAAAGAACAAATCCCTACCCTCCCAAAACTGAAGCCAAAGCAAAGACATTAAAGGCCAAGAAGACAGTTCTGAAGAGCATCCACAGCTGAAAAAAAAAAGGAACTTCACCGACTTTCTGGCAGCCTAAAACTCTGAGACTCAGAAGGCAGCCCAAATACCCATGAAAATGTGCCCCCAGGAGAAACAAGCTTGACCACTATCATCAAATTTCCCCTGACCACAGAGTCAGCCATGAAGAAGACTGAAGACAACAACACACATATGTTCATTGTGGATGTCAAGCCCAACAAGCACCAGATCAAACAAGCTATAAAAATACTCTATAACATTGATATGGCCAAGGTCAACATTTTGATTAGGCCTGATGGAGAGGAAGGTCTATGTTCGACTTGCCCGTGACTATGATGCTTTGGATGTGGCCAACAAAATTATGATCATCTAAACTGAGTCCAGCTGGCTAATTCTACATACAAATTTCCCCCCCCCCCAAAAAAATAGTTTTTTTTTCTCACGGCCAGCAGAATGTAGTTTATGAAATTTTCCAGCCCACAGAGAGCATCAGAGAAAAGAAAGATAATGGAGTTAAGCTGCCAGTAAGATCATTACTTGCAATTAGGGTTGAAAAAAATTCAAAACGTATGACTTTATCTGCATTAAAGATAGATCTGTTTTTAAAAGGTGCCTCCAGATAATGAAAGTCAAGGAGGATGTGGGGGAAAGTGCTGTTACATTGTAGAGGTCACAATCAACTTCAGAAAACAAGATGATTATGAATTGTTGAAAATAAGCCAATTTGCTTTGTGATCTTTCATCCAAATCACAAATAAACGTTTTTAAAACATTTAATCTGAGTCATACAAATTGAGAAGCCATGTAGAAAATAAGCTATTTTAGGAAGAATTTTTTTTTTCCTATGGCTAGCATAGTTTTAGTTATACAATGAATTCTTTTTAATTCATTGTAATTTAGAAGTATACAGATTAGCATTTATGTTTAGAAATAACTTTTTTTCAAAATAGGACAGACTGATCTCTTAGATCTTCTTGTGACTGAATTCTATTTACAAGAGAAAAACCTGAGCAATACATCATTTTCCTTTAGTCAGGGATGTAGGATTTAAGCTCATTCTTGCTATCACCTAAGCTTTATGATAAAGGAAAAAATGCTTGATTAATTCAGTACAGTTAGTGAGCTGTACCTTTTTCATAGGCCTGAGAAGGCAAAATGTTTGTGAAGTCTTCGCTTGGAAGACCCTGCTCCGGGACATTGATGGATCGGAAAGGACTGCCTTGTGTCTGTGCTGACCCCGCCTGTGGCCCGTGTTCTTCTTTTTGAGTTTTCCTAGGGAAAAGAAACAAATACAAGGCCAGTTAGGTGTTATGACCTTCTGGGTTAGGTAGAGATTCCGTTCATTACAACACAAAAACATTTTTATGAAATGACTATTTTTAGAAATTAACAATGTTCAAATATTAGCCGTTCATATGAGTCAGTGTACTCAACTGCTGTTTTGGAGAAAGTAAAGCCTTCAATATTCAGAAATTACTTTCTAATATAATAGCTACATTCCTATTTTCCTGTGGCTAATTTTCCTATTATCAGTATCTATTTCAAATTTGTAGGGATGACAGTTTGCTCTCAATGATCCAATTTACTCAATAAACCAACTGAAAGGTAACACAAGCAGCAAGTCTTCACCTGAAAACCATAACCCATTCTTCAGAGTCACAGAAACATTATGCCCATATTTTTTATTTTGATGATATTAAAAGCCTAATAAAAAGTATGTATTTTAATAGTGAAACTCTTCTTGGTTAAGTTATTGAGAAACAAATTTATTTGCAAATATAGTAGTAAAATAATAATAGCTTTAGAAAAATTGTAGAAAACAAAACAAAAAACACCACTTAATAGTACCACTCTTTTGACCCAACGATCACAATTTTTAAAATATTATTTTCCAATAGTTATTTTATGTTTTTACAATTATGATCAAAGTATTATTTTATATAATTTTGGTTTTTCTTTGATTATTGAATACCTTTTACTGCATACATAATTACATAATTTTTCATGTTAACCACTTTTTGTGATCACATGTAGATCTGATAGAGTCCAGTGGCCAGTCAGCTGTATTGTAATAGTGTGAGAAGGGTCATTAGATGCCTTTGGTGTAAGCCACTGTCTAAGAGTTTGGTGCTTTTTTTTTTTTTTTTTTGGTAAGACTCACTTAGCTTTTACTTTCCGAGATTCTCTTCGCTTCTCCTGTTGAAGCTGCTCAATTTTCTGCTGCATTTCTTCCTGCTTTGAAGTGATGGCCTGGATCATTGACATGGCATTACTCAGTTCTTCCTACAAATAAGAATAATTACATATTCAAACCAGTAAAAGAGGTAAAACTGCATGGTGCACATTTGTTTAATGAATGATAGAGAGAGCTCTACTATTTTTGCCTCTATTTTAAACACAGAACTCCAGCTCACAGCCATTGAGTCAGTTTCGACTCTGATCCTCCATCATGTTTCCAAGGCTGTAAATTGCCACGGCAAGAGACTGCCCATCTTTCTCCTTTAGAGCAGCTGGTGGAGCCAAACCAAAGTCTCGCAGCCTTTGAGTAAGCAGCACAATATCCTATGACTAGGTTACCATAACTCCCTAGCTAACACAGAATTCCAAAAAAAGAAAAACATGACGTAGACATGTAGTTTTAAAAAATGATAACTAATGTATGACTGAGGCACCTCGACGGCACATAACAACAACAATATGTGATTGAGCATGTTCTTCCCTTCTGGTTTTCTAACTCTTGTTCTTTGCACATTTCCTTATAATACTTCGCTCTGTCTTCTCAAGCTGGCCTTTTGAATTTTTTTAAATTTTATTTTGATTTATTTATAAAGTTTGGATACATTGTTTTTCACAAAAGTTCCTTCCCATTTCCTTCAGCCCATCTACCCATTGAATTGTGCAACCCTATGATTAACACCCCTACACCCCATCCACACTCCTCTATTTCCACCCCCCACCCCCTCCCGCTTTGGATCCTCATACTCATTCTACAATAATGGTTTTATACAGTATTTATCTTTGTGGGACTGAGTTAGTTCACTCAGCATAATGCTCTCCAGTGCCTCCCAAGTTAGGTAGTAATTTACAAAAATCATTGATACTGCATGCTGCATAGTATTGCATTGTATGAATGTACCACAACTTCTCAATCATCTGGACTGTTTCCATGTTCTTGTGATGGTGAATAATGCTGCTATAAACATTGGTGTACAAGTTTCCATTTGAGACTCAGTCATTTTCTAGGGATATATTCCAAGCAATAGAATATCTGGGTCATATGGAATTTCTATGTTCAGCTTTTTGAGGAAGCACCAAACTGCCTTCCAGAGCGGTTGTACCATTGTACAATCCCACCAACAATGTAAAACAGTTCCTATCTCACCACATCCTCTCCAACATTTATTATTTGCTATCCTGTTAAACTTTGCCACTGCTACTGGAGTGAGATGGTATCTCATTGTGGTTTTGATTTGCATCTCTCTTATTGCCAGTGATTTGGAGCATTTCTTCATATGTATGTTGGCCATTTTAATATCTTCCTCTGTGAAAATTCTTTCCATGTCTTTTGCCCATTTTGTAATTGGGTTATCAGTCTTTTTTCTTGTGGAGGCCCAGTATTATTCTATAAACTTTAATTATGAGACTCTTTTCTGACCTGGTATTGCCAAATGTTTGTTCCCAGTCGGTAGGTTTTCTTTTCACCCTGTTGAAAAAATATTTTTATGAACACAGGGATTTAATCTTTAGAAGTTCCCATTCATACATTTTTATCCTCTTCAGATTGCACATTTCTGGCTGTATTTGGCAGTCTCTTTATAAGCTTCTAAGCTTGATCTCAGTTTGTCTCTTATGAACCTTATGGTTTTGGGCTTTACTCCCAAGTTCTTATCCACCTTGAGGTGACTTTTGTGTATGGTGTGAGATGTGGATCCTTTCAGCTTTCGCTTTGCTTTGTCTTCTTGAACTGCCCTTTGAAATCTTTTGCCCAGTTCTCTTACTTCAGTATTTCATCCCTTTATTTTTGTCTTTCTGTGTTGCAGTGTAAGTTTCAGAGTCTTATCTATTTTTGTCTTTCTTTCTTCCCCAACTTTGTAATGACCTTTTGGTCTCTTCATGGATGATATCTTTGATGATGGCATCCCACAACTCATCTGGTCTTTGGTCATTTGTACTCAATGCATCAAATCTATTCTTTAAGATGGCTTTTAAATTCAGGTAGGATAGACTCAAGGTTGTATTTTGGTTTTCACAGACTTGCTTTCATTTTCTTCAGTTTTAATTTGAACTTACACATGAGTGATTGTTGGTCTGCTCCACAGTCAGTCCCTGGGCTTGTTTTGACTGCTGAAAATTCAGCATCTCCAAAGATTCTTTCATAGATGTAGTCACTCTGATTTCTATGTAATCCATCAGATGACAAATGGTATGGAAGAATTTATCAATGTCTTTGAGTTCTGGTGTTGGAAAAAGTATGGAATATCTCAGGAATTGCCAAAAAAACAGATAAGTCTGTCTTAGAAGAAGTGCAACCAGGGTTCTTCTTAGAGGAAAGGACAGTGAAACTTCATCTCATATACTTTGGGTATGTTGTTAGGATGGGCTATTCTTTGGAAAAAGATATCATATGGAGAAAGGTGGAGGGTCAATGAAAGAGAGGAAGACCCTCAACAAGATGGACTGACAGAGCAATTGTAACAATGGACTTGGATGTATCAGAAATAGTGAGGATAATGCAGAAAAAGGAAATGTTTAACTTTGTTGTTTATAGTGCCACTATGCATCATAATAGATTTAACAGCTATAACAACAGCAACAATGGTGAATGACTAATAACAATAATGATAGGAGTTCTGGTGGCATAATCTATAGCATGTTGTGCTGCTAAACTGGGGTTCTGAAGAAGCAACATGGACAGACCCTTCCCATTAAGATTTAGCCTTAGAAATCCAATGTGTATGGTCACTATGAGTTGAATCAACCCGATGGCAGTGAATAATGGTCAGAAGGGAAATTTTTACATTGACCATTATAAGAAAAGTCAATTTTCTTACTAGACCAAGACTGGTCTAAGACCAGACTTTTTGTAAAACCAAGACTGTTTTCAGCAGGGAAATGGGAAGTGGGGCTACCTTAAAATAGTTTAATGAATTCTTCATCTCAGTAACTTTTTCTTCCATGGAGCACTTGCAGCTCTTAACCTTTTCTTCCAAAGCATATTCTCCATGTTGAATTCTTGTCAGTTCCTGCATTGCTTCTGTGAAACCAGTTTTCAGTTCCGAGGCCAGGGCCTGCAACTGAATAATACGGGAAGAGAAAATTCACTTTGCTATAAGTTATAATAAAAGTTGCCATTAACCTATTAAAACTTTTCTTTTGTTTGAGAAACCAGGTTTTTTAAAAATTTATGGACCTTACTTATTGGCATACTAAAATTTGGATGCTTAAGGCAACTTTGACCCAACTCATCTCGAGAGTCTTCTTTACACAGAACATACTGAAGCTTCCATAAAGACAAGAGAGCAAGAAATAATTAATTTGACAAGTGTTTCTTCAAACTACTACTTAACCTAAAACCTTTGATTAAAATAAGATTTACTTGAAAAGCAACATATGCATATGATAGACCATGTTGATCCAGGAAATCTTTGATTCTGTGAAAGAAGAAGGAATGGGTATTATGTGGTCAAGTATTTTGAAAGGATGGAAAAATGTCATTCTTTTTTCCTTTCAGAAATTAAAGGATTAAAAAGACTAGTAGCTACATACATCTGAGAGTCTCTTTGAAAGTCGGTATTTTAAGATACTCTTAGATGACATTTTGGAAAAGGAGATAATGGCATTTTAAACAACAGAGGGCTGCAATCCATAAGCAGGCCTGGAAATATCTAGAATGGCAGGGCTTAGAGTGTTGCTGGTAGTCATGTAAATCATCTTTGGTGGTCAAGCCTGGAAATACAGGAGTGCACATGGTGAATTTTCACTGTTAACTTCTATACCATAAAGGGTATCAATGTTGGATTAGACAAACCACACACGGCTCATATTTTAGTTCTCTTGCCTATGATCTTAGGCAAATTGGCAAACCTGCTTAATACCGGGTTTTTTTGTATTGTTTTGCAAACAACTAAGATTACACCATATGAGCATTGTCACAAGAATTCCATGTATGTAAGGTACCTGTTGGAATACGTACAAGATGTTTAAGATATTTTAATCCCCCCGTTAAGTAGCAAATTAAAACGTTAAGTACAAATAAAAATGTGGAGAAAATGGAGCACATCGAAAGTTAATTGTGTTTATTGAATAAATGACAAAAGCGTTTTTCAAGACAGTAAGTTAAAATAGTGATCACAATGAGGTAGCAATGTTTATCGTTCCTGATATTTATCGTAAACCCTACTAAGTAGAGGAACTCCTGGCTCCAGATCTCTCCTTTACAACAGAACCTTGAAGATGTTTTTTCTAGAATTACAAATATCCACCAAGTATTTTTTCTGGAAGGTAGGAAAGTGAATGTCATTAGCAGCGTCACTTCAAATGCATATTTGTAAACTTTGTCTCAATCTGGTCGTTTTACTAGTTCCAAGTTGTAACATCTACTTAAAACAACTAGCCTCCCACATTATTTTTTAAAATTCTTTTCCCCACTGAGTTTCACAAATTCTTTCTTTTGAGGGGCTAGGAGTAGGGAGAAATCAGAGGAGCCAAAGAGATTATTCTGAGGAAAATAGCAGATGTGTCAAGTATTCAGGACCAGAAGACAGGAGCATAGCAGGGATGAGCAAACAACAGGACACCATTTGCTTTTCACTCTAGTGATTTTTCTTTTTCATTTATTTTAGTCAGATCTCAGCATTTGTCCTGATTCAGTCATCATGATGGACTATCAACAGATAAACTACTTTCTGACCTGGTAATATTCATTATGTAAATTTTTCCTCTGTGAACAGAATAAGTAAAATTGATGACTGCATTATGTCAAAACAACTTATGCAAGTTTGAAAACTGCAAGGAGGAAACCCTGCCATCTGCTCAGGTGCTCCAAGGGCCTTTCTCAACTGCTAGAAAAATAAAGGGAACCACTGGCCGACAGAAATAGGTTTCACTCTCACTGCTCCTGCAGGTGGCGATGTGGAGTTTTCCTCAGGAGTTAAAATGGCAGCGTGCAGAGTCCAAGACTCCAACTCTTAAAATTTGCTTATTTTTTTAGTAACATCCAAGTTAAAGTAGTGACTCTAGGAATTCTGAAGCCATTTAAACTGTGAGCCCATTTCTTTTTCAAATATTCATTTGAGCTGCTTGAGTTCTTGCCATTGAAGTATGAAATTGCTCTGAAAACAGCTTCCCCACCACAGACCAGCCAGGGTGGGGAAGCAATTCTTAGTACAATCAAACAACAGAGAAAACGTGATGTTACTTTTGAAATGCTTGGACTCTTAACATCATCAGCTGCCATGGATTGGCTTTCTAACACAAACCTGACCATTCTTTTGTGAATAAAAATACTCTGAGACACTTTTCCTCCACTTTCTTATTTGATAACCCACAGCCCACCCCAGCAATTAGAAATGGGTGTCTACCTTGTTCTCCAGCGAGTTGAACACGTTCCTCATCTCGTTGATTTTTTGATGAAGCTGCTCTAGAGAGGTTATGATCCCTCCATCCTGCCGCTGGAGGCGGGCTCCCGCTGGAGGTAGATTCAGGGAGGACTTGTACTTCAACGCCTAGGGCACCACAGAGGTCATCTTAGGCTCAGAGAAATGGGAGAGAGGAGTCCGAATTCCTCCTAGTTCCTGCTCTCAGTTTGTTTCTCAATTTTCTTTGCTCTCTTGGCTTCTTGCTCTTCTTGAGATGAGTTTTAGTCAGTGTCTTCTATTTTGTTTTTTCCACCAGAGATCCCTCAGGCCTCAAGTTAAATTTTCATGTTTCAACGTGTTTTTAATGCGCAGTATTCCTTTGTTCTGTTACCAAGGATGGGAAGCTATCCTGGGGCGGGGGACCAGACCTGTGCCTCAGAAATTTTGCTGTCATAAACATCAAGCTTTGAGAAATCTCCACAAGGCAGGCCCAATTCCCAAAACCCTTCACTAAAACCTCTAGAAGAGCACTAGCCCAGATGCTTTGAAATAGAACACGATGGCAAGGATGTTGAACTAATTGTTTTTATTTTCCCTAAACTATGGTTACTGCAGAAGAAACATGGTCCTTCCATTAGCAGCCTAATTTTAGTTGTCCTTATTTAACCCCAGAAACATAATGATTTAAAACATAGGTATGCAGGAAGTCATTTGAATAGTCAAAGGTGAATTTCCCAAATACACTCCTTTGTACCTCCTGCAGAAGTTAATCTTAATGTCGTTCTTACAGGGCCGGAGTGATACTGATGTGAAGCTTGGTGTGCTAGAAATTTCCCTTATTGGTCCCTGGACACACCACAGACCTAGCTGAATTACGTCTTTGGTGCTAGCAGAATGCTGATCCATGCCAAAGGGATGATGAGGCTGAAATTTTTAAATCCTAGAAAAATTTCAATGGTAGTTTTGAGAATGAAACCTATTACTGTACATTTGGATCCCGTCATTTTTCAATTAAAAATGGTTTGAGCACATGGCTTAACTTTGGAAATTATTTTCATTACAGAGAAAAAGAAATAACATCATCTTAAATCTTATTATGTCAACATAACCATTAATATTTTTTGTGTATTTCTTTCTAATTTTTTCCTGTATATATGAATTTATATGGATATTAATTTATAAGATTGAAATCATACTGTACATACATTTTTATTCTCCTCCCTCTAATTTTTTCCTAACTTTCTTATAAGCCCTTTCCAAAATCCTTCAAAATGTTTTCTAAATATCTATTTTAATGATTTTTGTGTGGTTGTGTACCTTCAAGTCAGAGCTGACCCCTAGCTCACCCTCCACCTGATGGTGCCGTCGGGATTGCAGCACAGCTTCTTGCCACTAATTTTAATGATTAATGAGTCCCTAATCTTAATAATTACATAATAGTATTATATCCTATGAATGTGCCAGAATTTACTACCTGCTCACTTTTGCTGAAAATTTATATTACTCATAATTTTTCAATAATATAAAAATAACTTTTGAATAATGTTTTTACCTGAAGTTTTGTATTTCAGAGTATTCTCTTATTTCTTTAATTATTCTCTTAATTCCTGAATATTAAATTACTACATCAGAGAATGTTAGATACTCTTGATCTAAAGGGAAATCCAACATATTGAAGGAAAAATATATAGTCAATTAATTACTATACAAAATGTATCTTAACCAGATGGTTTCAATTATAAGAATATAGTTGTATAATTTTGGAAATACTGTACATATGTCATATTATCCAAGACTTGTTTTTCTAATTCCACTGATTTAGGACATCATACATACTGTCTTGAGCAATAAGATATAGAAAATATAAGGTGTAAAAGTAAAGGAAGCAACATGATTTACATTCTAAAAACCACAAGTGAGTCAAAAGCGCAGTTAGAGCGGAGGTCAGTAGTCTGAGGGTAGGCCTGGGACTGAATTGTGTAGTTACTTCATCTGTTACTTTAGGGCTAAAATCCCCGATCATTCTTCAACAATCCACATGAAAATTAAGTCATTAAAGTGGAAGGAACAAAATCTCACTCTGAAAAAGATATTAACATGGACTTTAAGTGGGATATGTGCAATAAACTAAGGACAAGAGAATGAGGAAATATGATCTAATTCAAATAAAAGAAATTCTACTTTTTAAAAATATTATATAACATGAGAGAGGTTGGAGAGCATTATGCTGAGTGAATTAACACAGTCTTGTAAGGACAAATACTGCATAAGACCATTATTTTAAAAATAAAAGGATAACTATTAAGATGTATACAAAAGTCCAAAGGGGAGAAGGGGAGAGATGACGGAGGGGGCTGAGGAGGGATGGCAGAAGGAAATCTTGAGGACACAGAGTTATGTGGGCAGAGTGAGAGGTTGAAGGAATTAGAAAAGATCCAGTGGGAACAGAAAAGATGAGGAAATAATGGGCATGGATCAATGGTGCTTAATTTTATAAAACACAACGTATGAGAATGATCCTTAGAGAAGGACATCATACTTTGAAAGGTGGAGGGACAGCTCAGGAGAGGAAGACCTGGATGAGATGGATTGATAAAGTAAGTGGGGCAATGGAAGTAGGTGTGTCAGAGTCAGTGAGGCTGGCTCAAAACAGGGCAGGTTTCAGAGCTGCTGTACAGAGGGTCGCTATGAGTTGCAGGTAACTTGACAGCATATAATAATAATAATAACAACAACATGGGAATGGTTGTTTGAAACACAATGCAAATAGAAGATTGTATGTAATACAATGTATAGGAATTTTGTATGCAAACCTGTTGTTGTGAAACCTGCTCTGTCCTGTGCCAACCTTGTTGTCTCTGACACACCTACTCTCATTACCCCAGTCACTGAATCAGTGCATCTCATCCAGGGCCTTCCTCTCTTGTGCAGTCCCTTCACCCTTCCAAGCATGATGTCCCTCTACAAAGACTGGTGCCTTCTTGCAACAGACCCAAAGTATGTCAGACAAAACCTCAGAATCCTTGCCTCCAAGTAGCAGCCTGATTTCACCCTCTCCAGGATGAACTTGTTTGTTCTCCTGACATAAAGAGAGTTCATATAAAAGGAAATTCTACTGAGCCATCAGACCTAAGGTGTAGTTGGTGTATTCACACTGATTCACCTGTTCTAGTGGTAATTCTACCCAGGAAGAATTTTACCTGGACTAAATAATTTGTGGTTTATTCCACCGTCCTTTCGTTTAGAAATATCACATTCAAAGATTTTTTTTTTCAAAAAACCTGCCTCAGTTATTTTCATTTTCCATGGTTTTGATTGTTTGATATTCAACTGTTTAATAATTTAGTATTATATTTTTACTAGGGTATGAAGTAAAGATCTCTTCTTCCCTGCCTGCCCTCTACCCCAAGAAAAGGAAAAAGCCAGACAATTTTCCCAACACCTTTAGATTGAATAACTCTGCCAAGCCTCTTGGATTAAAGCAATATTCATATCTTCCAGATACTTATTTTTAAATTAATATTTCTAAAATATGTACCATATATCAGGTACTATACATTCTAGTGGACAGACTCTTAGAAAATATACCAGCTAATATATACTATGATGCCAGACAGGAATGGGTTTTGTCAACAAAGCAAATAAAGATATAGAGTACGACTGACATTTCAAAGTCTGCTTCAGATGCTTTCCCTTCTAGCATTGATTACGTCCTTTTACAGTTCATCTCTCCACATTTCCCTTCTTCTTTCTCTTCATTCTTGATGTCTTCTCTTTCTTCATGTGGTTAGAAGTTGCTTGTAGTAAGCACATTAGGGCTTAGGACTCATTCTTTTAAAACAGGGATGAGTTACAATCATAGTATCACAGAGGTCATGCAGACCCACTTCACTCCCACTGCTTCAGCTGCTCCACTATGAACAGATGTATTTGGATTTGTGATATAATAAAATAATGAGGCCACCTTCTTGCAGCTATATTTAGCCAACATTCAAGGAGTGACCTACAAAAAAATCTTTAATAGACTTTAAGTCATGCTTGAGTTTAAAGACATGCTCATCCTCATCAGATACCATACACAGATGAGATATGAACAGAAGAGGCAGACAGGGAAAGCCTTCAGAAGTCTTGGCCAAAGAAGAATTCATTCAGTGCTGAGCAAAGACCATTTCCTGCTTTCCACAACTTTGTTCAAGCTTACCCCTTTTTTGTAAATATTCTTTCCTCATATCCACTTACAAAGTATCCAACTTGTCCTTAATTGCCTGGTTCAAATCCTCCATTCAATATTAATTCATCCAAGCACCGTGGCGCTGACCACATAGCCCATAGAATGTTATCAAAACCTTTATTTTATTATTTCCCAGCAGTCCACTTTACATGAGCTATTTATTTAATGTTTTCCATGTTTTGTAAACGTCAAAGTCACTAAGAATGTCCATTTTATAGCCCACTAAGTCAAGCAGTTAAACCTTGCCATAGTCTACTTCATTCAACTCACTATCATTGCACCAGAACTAACTCATAGCTGACCCTCCAGTGGGTTTTCAGAGCTGTAAACTGCACTGGAGGTGATTGCTCATCTCTTTACTGCGAGGTTTGAACCATCTGCCTCTGGGTTGGCAGTGCAACTCCTTGCACACTGTTATTGTTACGCACTGTTGATCTGGAATCAAGCCATAGCTGACTCTCCAGTGGGTTCTTAGAGTCAGTGACAAATGGAAGAAGATTGGCCATCTTTCTCCCACTTTTGGCCACTAGGCCACCAAAACCCTCCCTTACACATAGCAGCATCTCAATTATGTGTGGTCCCTTGGAATGAGGCTAAATCTCCCCTTCCGTCCATTGAGAGTCTGGTCTAGGAACTGTAAAGTTAAAGTTTTAAGAGCACTGACCTGGCTTGTCCTGATTGGGCCCACAGCCAAGACCTTTTGCATATCTCTTTCTTTTCAATGTTCTTTTCAATGATGGTAAGTTCAATGAGGGGAACTGTTCTTTTCAATGATGGTAAGTTAAACAAAATAAACCTAAACATCGCTCCACAGTATCTGTTCCTCTGGATTCCTCTACTTCCATTTGGAAGACCATTTTGCCTCCTCATTATCAAGACTCAAAACTTCAGAGCTAATTTTTTTTATTTTTTTCTGTCTTTTTTCAATTTTATTTTATTAATTTTAATGAACATTTACAGAGATTTTGGATTTTCATTCATTCATTGTTGCATTTTTTTCCTTTACCCCCCCTCTCCCCGCAGTTCACGCCTCTCTGGGGGGATAGTATACCAAAGAAGTTTCTCTTTTTAAATTTTTTAATTATTTATTTTTTAAATTTGGTGTATGGTGGAATTGGGTCCGACTGGCACAGGAGGAGTTTGCCCCTCCTTCTCCAGCAGAGCATCTGGTGCATTTGAACTGTGCATCTTTGGCATTGCAGCACAGTTTCTTGCCACTAGGCCACCAGAGCTCCCAGAGCCAATTTTGAAATCACCCTTTTTTCCCAAACCCTACACCAAGCCTAACATTTCTTTCTTCCTTCTCACTTATTCCAGATAGCACTACCTTAATTCCACAGAGGAGCAGGGAGTACATTAGCCCAAGCTATTTTTATATTGCCAGTTATGTCAGGGGAAATGTTTATGATTTTTTAAAAAATTTTTTTCTGTTACATTCATGAGTTTTAATGACAGAAATTTACATAAAGTTTACAATGGGAAGTTTGAAGCCAATTAAATAATGTTTTGAGATCTAAAGCAATCTGACATGACCAGATTATGTAATGTTTGGCAGAACATTCATCTTTGCTGTAAATGAAATTCATCTCATTGCATAAAAGATGCTTTGAAAATGTTTTCTATCACCATATTGGGACATTTTCTATGTTACTCCCTTGCAATTCACAACTTGCCCTGCTAAAACAGGAAAAGCAAGACTTACTGTCTTGAGAATGTTACCACACAACATCAGGGCCACAGTGATAGTGGTAGTTGACATGGAAAAAAGTTGGAGCTGGGAGGTTGCAATTTATGGACAAGAAAACTGATAATTCAATTATCAAGTTTCCACCAAAGTAGAATGCTAATAGTGCTTACTACTTTCTTTCTCTTAATTAGTCTTAATTAAAGTAAATGCAACGCCATAAGTGGAAACTCTTGTGGGCTCAAACAATTCTCTATATAAAGGATCTCCCATTACTGTTGAGTCAGTTCTGACTTCCTAGCTGACCCTCCACCTGATTTCCCAGGATGTAAATCGTGTAAGAGGTGGCTACCCATCTTTGTCTCAAGGAGTGGCTGGTGGACCCAAACCTGCAGAGAAGTGGGGTTTTGGGGTTAACAGTGCAACTCCATTGACGACACCTCCAGAGCTCCCCAAACATAAAGGATGTTCTGCAGTGTTGATATACATGGATCTTTCAAAACAATCTACACATCCTTACCTGGTAGATCTGTGTGGAAGGATTATTCACCGGCATGTGTTCATTCTCTCCTGTAGAGAGAAAGAGCTTTGTTCAATCAAAATGGCTCAATTTGTTCCTGCCCTCTTAAGGTAAAAAATGAGAAATGGAACACTTTTGATTGTGATTTGGTTGAGAGAGCACAGAACAGATTTTCCTTCAGTCATTCATTTGCACTCTTCTTGCTTTGTGACATTGGTTCCAGTCCCACAAAACAACACCCTGTTCCCACTTATTCCCCATTCTTCTGATTTCTATTTACCCTTCTATCTCTCCCCTTTCTGCTTCTGATCTTTATTCCTGGGCAAACATTGTCCTTTCGTCCTTACATGGTTAAGTTTTTTTCCCTCAGATATATCAGGAATTAAGGGGGCCTGGAGGAGCCTACATCTTTGCCCACATAACAAGAAATTTATGATTCAAGAGCAATAAAAATGAGATGGTGCAGGTGGGGTTTATATTCACATTTTAATGATCAAATCAAACTTGTCTGATACATCTCTTTTAGTAGAAAATTCTTTTTTACCATAGTGGGAACATTTCTAAAATAAACTGAATGATCAATGGTCAGTAGTAAATCACCACACAACAGCTCCCTTACATACTTGAGACTGACTACAATTTACCTGAAGACAGAATTCCAGAATCAGACAATTTGCTCAATTGTACCTCTACTGTTCTCAAGAAGCCTCTAGAAAATGTCTCTTACAGATTATATGTCTGATATTTTGCAAACTTCTGACCTCCACCTTGCTCTCACTACCAGTATTAGCTAAGAGGTTTTTGCTCCCCTCCTGTGTAAGAGGACAAGTAGAGGGGAATTGCCAGTGGAGAGTTCTGCAGGCAGAAGGAAAACAGTACAAGCAACAGTCTGGACTGGCAGGTATTAGTTACTACCTAGAGAAAACAAGCGTTGGTCTAGAATGTGCCTTTTAGAATCACATTAGTTGGCATGAAGACAAGGAAATCCACGTAAAATAATATTTGGCTTGTTGCATATCCATTTAGCAGCATCTCCATTGTGTCACATTGTGCACACGCAGGCCGTATATAGCAGAAAACTCTGATGCAAACATTCGGCTGTACAGTTACATATAATGTTCTAAGGTATGTTGGTCCTGAAAACCCTTCCTTAAAGGTTGTAGCCTCAGTTTATTAATAAATAACTTTAGTCCAGAATTTATATGCAGAGAAGGCCATCCATGTAAATTCTAGATGGTTTGATATCACTAAAACTCTGAACAAGGCTTAATAAAGATTATTTAACCAATTGGCCTTCAAATCTAAATTTGCCATGTTATTGCTGTAGCTTCACTTCTCTGTGATTATTTCCCTATCTGTAAAACGGAAATAGATAACAAGAACTACTTATATGTGGCTGAAAAAGCTAGGGGGAAAAATGCTTACTTACTAAAAAGGTTGGCTGAGAAAGATGTCTGATTGTATGAGACGGTCTAAAAATTTTCACTAAGAAAGTAACTACTAAGTTTGAACTATATCATTTCCTACTTAATCAGGGTCAGTCTTTTCATGGTTATTATACAGTGATTTGGAAATTAAAATAGTTAACATACTGTCATGTTTTGAGACAGTGACAAGACCCACATTTCTTGAATCTTGAACCCTAAGCGAGACCCAGGGAAAGGTCAAACCTTGCTTTGTTTTGGTTTTTTCCATGGTGCCTGTTGCTTCTCTCCTTCAGCTTATTCTTCAACATTGCATCATCACTGTCTCTGGATCAGGCCACCCCGTCTTCCCTGGACCTGCCAATTCAAATTGAGAGCACTGGATAGTAGAAAGAACTGGGAAAGTACCTGAATTTACTTAATATATTATAAACTTAAAATATTGACATGAACACAACAATTAGAGGCTACTTGAAGTTTCTATCATTTTTGAAGAGTGAAGTTACTAAATTTGAGTAAACATTGTGCTTCAGGTAGAAACAAATCCTCTTATTACCATCAAGTCAGAATTAACTCATAGCTGACACTTCAGCGGGTTTCCAGAGGCTGTAAATTGCATGAGAAGAGACAGTCTATCTCCCTCAAAGCCATTGGTGGATGTGAATACCTTTGAGTTAACACTACAACTCCTTATGAACTAGGCCACCAGGAATACAGGTGCATAAATGGGCCAAAACTCATCAAAATGCTTTATTTCCCTTGAATGAAGCAAGTAAAAATGGCCTAAGACATTTCACTCATATGCTGAGATCTGTAAAGTAAAAAGATGAAGAAATGACATCTCATTATACATAAGGCATATATTTTTTACTTAACTACTACAAAAGTTTATTGAACAAAAACTTAATATTAAAATATAAAAAGCTTGATTTTTATATCATAGTAAAAGGGGTCCTTGGGAGAAGGGAAATGTGGAAGCAACTGATTTCTAAACAGACAACAGTCATACAGGTTCCAAGGCTTCCAACAAGCTGATACTGTTTCCTCATCTTACCATCATTCCGGTATTGTTCTGCTGTCCACTAGTTGCCGTCTCCACACATTCATCTATTACGAGATTTATATGTCTGACACCATTTCATTTCAATAATAACTTCTTGTCCATAATTTTTTTTAACTCCAGCGAGTGAGTTTTGCCCTTTTTATCTACTTTCAACACTGAGCTCTGTGTTGAAACAGAGTATGCTATAAGGCATGTTTAAAAGTCCATACCGGGAGGACCACTGCCCGCCCAGGCTCCGCAGGAGAGACGCTGCTCCGCGCTCACCCGCCACCATGATCGCCGCGCAGCTCCTGGCCTATTACTTCACCGAGCTGAAGGATGACCAAGTCAAAAAGATTGACAAGTATCTCTATACCATGCGGCTCTCGGATGAAACTTTGTTGGATATCATGGCTCGCTTCAGGAAGGAGATGAAGAATGGCCTCTCCCGGGATTTTAATCCAACAGCCACAATCAAGATGCTGCCAACATTTGTGAGGTCGATTCCTGATGGTTCAGAAAAGGGAGACTTCATTGCCTTGGATCTTGGTGGATCTTTCTTCTGGATCCTGCGAGTGCAAGTGAATCATGATCAACATCAGAGTGTTCATATGGAATCAGAGGTGTATGATACTCCTGAGAACATCATACATGGCAGTGGAAGCCAGCTTTTTTATCATGTTGCTGAGTGTTTTGGTGACTTCATGGAGAAGAAGAAAATCAAGGACAAGAAATTGCCTGTGGGATTCACCTTTTCCTTCCCTTGCCGACAATCCAAAATTGATGAGGCTGTTCTGATCACCTGGACAAAGAGATTTAAAGCGAGTGGAGTAGAGGGAGCAGATGTAGTGAAGTTACTCAACAAAGCCATCAAGAAATGAGGGGACTATGATGCCAACATTGTGGCTGTGGTGAATGACACAGTAGGGACCATGATGACCTGTGGTTATGATGACCAGCACTGTGAAGTCGGCCTGATTATTGGCACTGGCACCAATGCTTGCCACATGGAGGAACTGAGGCACATTGACCTGGTGGAAGGCGACGAGGGGAGGATGTGCATCAACACAGAGTGGGGGGCCTTCGGAGACAACGGGGCTTTGGAGGACATCCGCACGGAGTTTGACCGAGAGATAGACCGGGGCTCCCTCAACCCTGGGAAGCAACTGTTCGAGAAGATGGTCAGTGGCATGTACATGGGGGAGCTGGTTCGACTGGTCCTGGTCAAGATGGCCAAGGAGGGGCTCCTATTTGAGGGGCGGATCACCCCGGAGCTGCTCACCAAAGGGAAGATCAACACCGCTGACGTGTCAGCCATCGAAAAGAACAAGGAAGGCCTCCACAATGCCAAAGAAATCCTGACCCGGCTGGGAGTGGAGCCATCAAACGATGACTGCATCGCAGTCCAGCATGTGTGCACCATTGTCTCCTTCCGCTCAGCCAACCTGGTGGCAGCAACACTGGGTGCAATCTTGAACCGCCTCCGTGATAACAAAGGCACGCCCAGGCTGCGGACCACGGTTGGTGTCGACGGGTCTCTTTACAAGATGCACCCACAATATTCCCGGCGTTTCCACAAGACCCTGAGGCGCCTGGTGCCCGACTCAGACGTGCGTTTCCTGCTGTCGGAGAGTGGCAGTGGCAAGGGGGCTGCCATGGTGACTGCGGTGGCTTTACCGCCTGGCTGAGCAGCACCGGCAGATCGAGGAGACGCTGGCCCACTTCTGCCTCGCCAAGGAGAAGCTGCTGGAGGTGAAGATGCGCCTGCGGACAGAGATGGAGAATGGGCTGAGGAAGGCGACAAACGAAAAGGCCACTGTCAAGATGCTGCCCTCGTTTGTCCGGAGCACTCCCGATGGGTCTGAGCACGGTGACTTCTTGGCCCTTGATCTTGGAGGAACAAATTTCCGTGTCCTGCTGGTGAAAATTCGCAGTGGGAAAAAGAGAACAGTGGAAATGCACAACAAGATCTATGCCATTCCCACCGAGATCATGCAGGGCACCGGGGAAGAGCTGTTTGACCACATCGTCACCTGTATCTCGGACTTCCTGGACTACATGGGGATTAAAGGCCCTAAAATGCCTCTGGGTTTCACGTTCTCCTTTCCCTGCAAGCAGACAAGCTTGGATGCGGGCATCTTGGTCACCTGGACAAAGGGTTTTAAAGCAAGTGACTGTGTGGGGCATGATGTAGCCACTTTACTAAGGGACGCAGTGAAAAGGAGAGAGGAGTTTGACCTGGATGTGGTAGCTGTCGTCAACGACACGGTGGACACCATGATGACCTGTGCTTATGAGGAGCCCAGCTGTGAGGTCGGACTCATTGAAGGCACCGGCAGCAATGCCTGTTACATGGAAGAAATGAAGAATATTGAGATGCTGGAGGGCAACAGCGGGCAAATGTGCATCAACATGGAATGGGGTGCCTTTGGAGACAATGGCTGTCTGGATGACATCAGAACGATCTATGACAAAACAGTGGATGATTTTTCTCTAAATGCTGGGAAACAGAGGTTTGAGAAGATGATCAGTGGTATGTACCTGGGAGAGATTGTCCGCAACCTCTTAATCGATTTCACCAAGAAAGGATTTCTCTTCCGAGGGCAGATCTCTGAGACCCTGAAAACAAGGGGCATCTTCGAGACCAAGTATCTTTCTCAGATCGAGAGTGACCGGTTAGCGCTGCTGCAGGTCCGAGCCATCCTCCAGCAGCTGGGGCTGAACAGCACGTGCGATGACAGTATCCTCGTGAAAACTGTGTGCGGGGTGGTGTCCAGGCGGGCCGCGCAGCTGTGCGGTGCGGGCATGGCTGCCGTGGTGGACAAGATCCGCGAGAACAGGGGACTGGACCGTCTGAATGGGACAGTGGGTGTGGACGGCACGCTCTTCAAACTTCATCCACACTTCTCCAGAAGCATGCACCAAACCGTGAAGGAACTATCACCAAAGTGTAACGTGTCTTTCCTGCTGTCAGAAGATGGTAGCGGCAAGGGGGCTGCCCTCATCACAGCGGTGGGCGTGCGGCTCCGCGGAGAAGTACCCCCGAGCAGCTAGGAGTGAGGACCTGACCTGCCGCCCTTCCAGCTCTGCTCCTCCAGCAGCGGCCCCAGTTCCTCCCAGTGAGCCAGGCTGGGAGGTACGTGTGCAGGAGCCTGCCACCGCGGCACGAGGAACACACACCCAGCTCATGGCATAAAAAAATAGGGTACAAGATAGAGTGTGTGACATTGGTAATCTCTCACCTCCAGATTTCTCCTCACCTGCTCCGCCACTCTGCATGGTTTGATTTCCACCTGGTCGTACGTTCCCCAACGTGTACATCCACTTCTAATTTATGCATTCATTCAACCAAGTTATTTATTGGCTCAAGATGAAAAGTCACATTCTCAGACAGGTCCTGGGGGCTGCTGACGCCCGTCCTAGGGGACACATCCCCCTGTGTGAAATGTATTATCACCAGCAGACACTGCCGGGACTCCGCCTCCCTGGGTGCCCTGATGGGTGTGTGTGGACGTAGCACTAGCCGCTTCCTCCCATCCCGGCGCCCTCTGCCTGCTGTGTGGCATCCCAAGGCCCCATCAGGATGTGCCAGTGACAACAAATTGTGTGTCCGTGAAACCCGTCATCGCTGCATTGTGACCGTCTTGCATTCTGTTTGTCTTGTGAGGGGAGGTGGCAGTCCCAGGGGAAAGTGTCTTGTCTCCATTTGGGTAAAAGGAACCAGCCACCCACCAGTGCCGTCACTGGAATCTCCCATCGCTTCTGTGAGCCACGTTGTATGACCTAGTAAACTTTGTACCAACAAAACAAAACAAAACAAAACAAAACAAAAAAAGTCCATACCACGGCCATACATTGTTTGGAATTCTCTATGTTTTCACATTTTTCACATGAGCATGTGAATTATGTAGAGTATTGACCTGGTGACTGTGATGATAGGCTCAAGTGCACTGGAGACGTTGAGGATGGTACAAGACAGGGTGAGGTTCAGACCTGCTCTTCACAGGGTTGCCATGAGTCACAGGTGACTCATGGCACATTACAGTCATATCTCCAGTGGGCTGGTGCTGACATGTGGTGCTGCGAACTGAAAAACGGTAGTTTGAATTTATCAGCTGCTCCTCAGGAGAAAGATGGTGAGTCTGCTCCTGTAACGATTCACAATGTTGGAAACTCGAAGGAGTTACCAAGAGACTGAAATGACTTGACAGAGGTGAGTTTAATTAGATTTGGGACTCTAACTACGAACTCTCTTTTCATAGCTGAGACAAGCATTAACAAAGATGTACATTTTCTTCTTCGAAATTGTTGAATTATTTTCAGTTATTCCATGGCGAATATAATTCATGACAAAATGTTATCACTGAAAGGACTCTGAGGAAATTATTAATTATTTTACTCAACTTCTTCATTAATAGGTGAAGTGACTGAGGGCTGGGGAGGGAAAGTGAAGTAACTTGCCCAAAGCCGCACAACTTTGAATGTTTTGAAATCTAGAAAACTGTATTTTCATGAGCCTTTTAAAGATAGTCCCTGGGGATTTAGTTATCTAAAATAACTAACTGAAAACAAGAAACTCTCAAGGATGTGTTGTTGTTGTTGTTGTTGTTGTTGTTAAGTGCCGTCGAGTCACAGGTGACTCATAGCGACCCTATGAAGGAGATTTCTCAACGTGTGGGTGTCTCTCATCCTCTCTCCAGGTTCATAGGGTTTCCCGAGGAAAGCTATTACGGAAGTGGATGCCACTCCTCCTTCCAAGCTTGTTTTAATCGGGGAGCTCCAACCGACTCTGTCCGCATTGCATAACCAACCATTAACGCATTTAACACATCAGTGTCACAGTGTTCAGCCTCACAGCAACCACAAGTTACCGCTACACGGCAACTTGTACACCCTCAAGGATATAGTATAAGTAAAATTTAAAAGGTACACATTTTCAAAGTTAGAGCATCATGAAGCTCACACATGTATTACATATCCCCTGATTTCAAGACTTAATAAAAATTTGTAATTTATAGGGAATTATCAAAAAGTATCACTAACGTCACACATAAGCAAGATTCTGCTAAAGATTATCCAAGAACAACTGGAAAATCACATCAACAGAGAACTGCCAGATGTGCAGGCTGGGTTTAGAAGAGGCCGTAGCACTAGGGACAGCATAGCCAACATTAAATTTCTTGGCTGAAAGCAAAGAGCACCAGAGTAATGTCTATCTGTGTTTCATTGATATGAACAGGAATTTGATTGTGTGGATCACAACAAATTGAGCCTAACCTTAAGAATGAAAATCCCAGAACACTTAATTTTGCTCATTTGAAACTTGTACTTGGACCAGGAAGCAGCCTCAGAACAGAGCAGGGAAACACTGCATGGTCCAAAATCAGGAAAGGAGTGCATCAGGGAGACATTCTATCTCCACACCATTTCAATTTATTTGAGAAATATATATGGTCATTATGAGTTGCGGGCAATTCAACAGCACGTAACAACAAATGATAGGAACAACAAAATGGTTCAAAATCAGGAGAGGAGTGTGTCAGGCATACCTCCTGACTCCATATCTTTTCAATCTATCTGAGGAATAGATCACTGGAGAGGCTTGACTTTATGAGGAGAAATGTAGCATCAGGACTGCAGGAAGACTACCCAACAACCTGCATTATACAGATGACACAATTTTGCTTGCTGAAACTGAAGAGGACCTGAGGCATTTGCTGCAGAAGGTCAAGGATTTCAGTCTTCAGTATGGACTGAAGCTCAACATCAAGAAGACAAAGATTCTCACCACTGAGCTAATTGGCAGCACTATGATAAATGGTGAAGAGACTGAGATTGTTAACAATTTCAGCTTGCTTTGTTCCACAATAAACACTCTTGGCATCAGCAGTTAGGAAATAAAAAGATTAATTGCATTGGGAAAAACTGCTGTCAGAGACCGCTTCAGAGTGCTGAAGAGAAAGGATGTTAACTCTAGAAACTAAGGTGAGCTTGATCCAAGCCATTGTCTTCATGATTACTTGTCATGCATCAGAGAGCTGGACAATTACTAAGGATGACTGAAGAAGAATCGATGCCTTTAAATTGTGGTGCTGAAGAGTCTTGAGCATATCATAGACTGGCAAGAGAACAAGCAGGCCTGTACGAGAGAGGATGAAACCAAGAAGCTTCTTGGAGGCAAGGATTTTGAAGCTCTGTGTGACATACTTTGGGCATATTTCCATTCCTTGGAAAAGGACATCATACCTGGAAGGGTAGAGGGACAGTATGGGAGAGAAAGATCCCAGATGAGATGGATTGACATGGTAAAGGGGGTAGGTGTGTAGGAGTCAGGGAGACTGGCTCAAGATAGGGCAGGTTTCAGAACTATTGTGCATAGGGTCACTATGACTGCAGGCGACTCAATAGTATATAACAACAAGACAAATGCCTCAGAGATAAATTTGGAGAACACAGGGACAAAACCTACTACTTAAGTAAGCATTGTTGTTCTGTACTGTCAAGCCAGAACTGACTCATAGCTGACCCTCCAGTGGGTTTTCAGAGGCAGTAAATCACATGGTGGCATATCGCCCATCTTTCTTCCATGTTAATTTGAACCATGTTCCTTTGGGTTGGCTGCACAGCTCCTCGTTACTAAGTCACCAGAGCTCTCTAAGTAAGTTTTAAGAACATTTAATTGTATGACCTGCCAGCCTTTTTTGGTCTTGATTCACATACTTGTTTTTAACATCTAGTTATAAGGTTGTGCCTGCATTTTTCACCTATATCTTATTACCATGCTTGCTACCATTCTGACTACAATGAGTGTGAGATTAGATCTTCTCTATTCCAACTAATGTTAAAAATTCACAGGTATTCCTGAGTACCTTTTATTGACGTGATATACTCATATACAAGCTTTTATATGGGATGTGCACATATGGAGGATCTCTTGTGGTATAATAATGAAGTACTGGGCTGCTAACTTTGGCGGCTCCAATACAACACAGTGACTCTGGAGGAGAAAAGACTTAGAGTTCTATTTCCATAAAGATTTATAGTCTTGAAAATTCTATTTTGTCCTATAAGGTCACGATAAGTTGGAATCAACTCAGTGACACCCCACAGCACACATGTTGTTGTTATGTGTCATCAAGTCACCTGCAACTGATGTCATAGTGACCCTATGTACACTAGCCCTGAAACCAACCCTACCCTGAGCCAGTCTCATTGTCTCTGACAGACCTAATCCCATTTCTGCAGTCACTCGTCCATCTCATCTGGGGTTTTCCTCTCCTATGCTGTTCCTCCATCCTTCCAAGGATGATGACCCTCTCTCTCCAAGGACAAGTCCCCCTGGCCACATGCCTAACATATGTCAAATGGAGCTTCAAAATCTTTGCCTCCAGGGAGCAGCCTTGTTTTACCCGTCCAGGACGAACTTGTTTGTCCTTCAGGCAGTCCACAGTATGCTCAACACTCTTCTCCAGCACCACAACTCAAAGGCATTGATTCTTCTTCTATCTTCCTTAGGTAGTCATTGACCAGCTCTCTGATGCATAGCAAGTAATTGAGAAGATAGCATACATACATGGATGGAATTGTCATTGAAATGTCATGATATCCTTCTCCACATCTTGCCTCTCTCGTGATAACAGATCATGGCACTCTCTCCAAAAAATTCTTACAAATTTAACAAGTTCCTACTCCACCTCTCAATGGCCTTTTTTTGCTTTTTGGAAGGGCTATTGCCTTTCCCCATTTTTTATTATTTTTAACAAATTGATTTTAAATGCTTAATAGTATTCTATTAGGGAATGCTAGTGGCCTAGTGACATGAATCTGTGCTGCAATCCCAAAAACATGAAGTTTGAGGACACCAGCAGGTCCAAGGGAGAAGGATGGTCAATCTCCTCTCGTCTGATTAACTGCCTGAGAAATTTCATTGGAGGTTCATCTCTGAGTTGTTTCCAACTCGATGGTACACAACAACAATAATATTCCGTAGTCTGGATATTTACTGGACATTTAGATTTGCTCTTCTGTTTATTACCGATTCTTCTGCTTTGCTT